GTTCACATACTTTTTCTTGCAACTGTAGCTGCAATTTCCTGGCCCTGAAATCTAATTTTAGGCACTATAAGCTCTCTAATTTGATGATGAGACAATACATCATTTTCCTTGCCTGATGCATGCACAGAAGGACCAGGCATGCAGAACTTGGGCATAATATATTATCTTCAGTGAATGTAAAACAAAAAGGAGAAAAATGTTACTCACTCTCTGTGGTTGTGTAAATCTTCACCATGCTCTTTACAAGATTAATGCTATTTGCTTGGGCCAATGCCTGAGTTGCAGGATAATGATCCCCACGTTGTTCTGGAATACATGAAAAGCCAAATCAATGCGGTAAAAAAATAAACGCAAATAGGCAGTGTGTCAAAAAGCATGTGCCTGTGCCTCTCCTGGATTGTTCACTTTGCTTAGAGCATGTTGCAGTTGCATTACACAGGGCTGCTTTCAAATTATCAATGCTCTTTAATATCTTTTCTTCAGAATAACTCTTCACACTATGATGGGAAATGTAAACACTGGGTTAATCCAGTCCCTAAAACAGATAAACAATTGAAAAGAGCTTCCAGTGCAACATAGCTATCTGCTAATATTATTCTGAAATTAATATAATAATAAGGCAAAAATAAAGAGATTGATTTGGCATAGAAAGAAAATATTTATGTTTACCTGAAGTGCAACTCATGATTTTCATTGAAATGTTACATGAGGTAGGAAATATGCCAAGAAATGACACAGTTAAAATAAGTTGAGTCTATGGAAAATTCTATCTAACAGGTCTTACCCAGGTACATGAGGACAGGAAATTTGGAAAAAGGAGCTAAAAAGCTCTCTCTTCCTAGGTCTTTGCTTGGCAGAGAGCAGAGCTATGGACAATCAGAGCCCACATGTAAAAAGAATTGCAATTAACAATAATTTTTGCTCACAGTAGCAGTCACTACAAGAGCCCATCAAACCCAGAGGAAGAAGTCGATGAAGTGGTAATACTATTGACACCATCATGGTTGAGTACACAGTATCAGAACCCAGAAAGATCAGACTCCTTGTTCACTCCTCTTTGGTTGTAGTTTAATACCCAAATTCAGTTGTGCATTCCTGAAAGACCCAAAATGTCATTTAAGCACTGTCAGCCAGTGGCTATATCAAGGTAGCCTAACAGTCAATGTGTTTATTAAACACTTTGCTTCACATTTTATTTCTTCTATTTGTGTCAAGACTTTACCACCACAGCCTCACATTTGAAGAAAGTACAGTCTTCTTGGTAAGTGAAATAAAGTAAGTTCCTGTGACTTGTTAAAGGTAGCGCTAAAAAAATGGACGGCTGTCCTGAGCTGAGGTACAAGTAGAGACATGAGGGCTTGTAGTGGGGAGGAAGGCAAGGGAACATGGCACTGCCCCCTCTTACACTGACATAGCGCTACACAACATTTGTTTCCAGAGCTGTTTGCTGAACACATTCCACACATGCTAACGGTGCACAAATTGTGATATAGGATAAATGGACAAATGAAGATAACGTGTACAATGCAGAAAAGGTAGGGAAGAAAACAGGCTTAGGGATATCTTGCTACTGGGATTTCACAGGATGTGGTTACAGCCCTCAGTACCTGAGGAAACAGCTGAGGCTGTTCCCTGAATGGTTTCTCTCTCTCTGGCCGCTTCACCAGGTGTTGGCTTGTCTGAAGACTCACAAACTTTTTCCTCAGGTAGCTCTCCATTTATTTCCATTTTGTCAAAAGTACCCAAATCAGATCTTTTCTCCTTCTCATCATCATTTTCACCATCTGTAAGCACAGGCTCTATCAGTATCTGCACCCTGCTTGCCAGGGAATTTGATGCATGCTTGCGCTCTTCTGCCACTGTCAACTCATTCGTAAGCGTCTCTGGCTCAAACATGCTGCCAGATGCATCTTTGGTAGGTGACTCAATTTTGACGGACGGCACTTGCACAGGCCATTTGGATTTCTTGGAGCAGTGCTGTGCCACCTTCTCTTCCTCTGGCACCAGTGACTTCCCATTGCTTTCACTCAGTGAGCTATTTCTTGCAGCCAAGCAGCCTTTGCTCTTGGTATTTGTTGATCTAGCAACGATGGAAACCAAGCCCTTCCTTGCAGAGGCTAGATAGCTTGGTTCTTCCTCACTAGAAGACAGGGTTATTGTCCTTTTGTAGGGGATTCTTGTTTTGGTGAAGATGCCAGATTTTTCTTTGCTGTTTTGGCCTTGCCCAGGCTGCACAGAGAGTGAGTGGCACAGCTTGAACCGCCTACCATCTGCTTCCACACAGCTAGGGTCCACTGGCATGCTTCCCATCGCCACAGAGTCTGCTCCTTTCTCCCAGAAGTTCTTTAAGTTCTTGAAGTGTTCACGATCAAGACCGATATCCTCCTCTCTGTTACTCATTGATGAGATTGTATAGTTCCTGCCTTGCTTCACAGCCTGGCTGCTTTCTCCCTCTGTGGTCAGTAGTTTGGGGCTTTCCAGCAGCTTTCTACTTGTGTCACTGTTCTCTGTTGGCTCCATGTGATTCAAAAACTGCTCGGATCTGGAGAAAGTTTTGCTTGGTTTTCCCCTAACTGGTATCTTGCTGGGACTATAAGTTTCTTTGGGTGGATATTCTGGCCACGCTGTGGTGCCAGTGGCCCCATCAACAGCTTCTCCTCTACCTGCACTGCTCGACTGAGGCACAGCATCCTCTGAAAGTCTGGTAGGCAATGGTGGTACTTCATGACCTACAACGACAACAAATGCTCACGGCACATCCCACAACATCACATTGTATTTCTCTGGAAGGTCTGGGCTGCAGCTTCTCAAAGGAAAGCCAAGGAGAGTTTCCAGAAACAGCCAATATGTTCTTAATTCTTGTCCATTTTTGAGACTCTAGCAAGCCCCCTTCCATCTGAAGAAAGTCCTGAAAACCCTAGCTTTTCTCCTACAACAGGACACAGAAAAAATCCACTGAACTCTAAAATGTTGCTGTGAGTTGTGAATTTGTTCAGAGCTTTGACAGCTTTCCTACTGGCTATTTGCTATGTACCAAAAATACACTGTACATTCAAGACAGGAAGGAGAAGGTAACTTGGATCTGTAGATTAAGGAGTTGTGAGCCAAGCACTGAGTTTAAAACATTCTGAGAGCCAGGAGTTTTAGCCATTAGAATTTTTATTTTCTTGGTCCCTGCTGCCTTGGGCGTAATTCATACAAATGCTGGTAGCCCATTCCTACATGCCCAGGCAAGAAATACTCTTTTTTATTCATCTTCACACACACAGAAAAGCATCTTGTCTCTAGGTGTTTGATGCTGAATAACAAAACCACTGATGATTCACTGAACAAAAACCTCACCTTTTCTGGACAAATGCAAGCTGTTTGTTGCAGCCATGAATGAACTTGTTCCAGTGTCATCCTCTGAGTAAGAGACATCACATATACTGGATCTCTGAATGGAAAACAAACCATATCAGCATACACAAACCAGCAAGACTGCAAAAATTTATTTATTTTATAGACATGCAGTCTGTGGAGTCCCTGCCATTAGGTACAGACTGTGTGAAAGTCCAAGGAATAATGAAATGGAGTGCAGCAGCTGTGTCGATACTACCTTGTGCGATGCAAACAGTATGACAGGAAGTCTCAGTTTTGGTTTTGGCAAGATTTTATGCTTCTCTGCAGTATCAAGAGTAGGTGTACTGGATCTGTGGGACAGAAGAAAAGCCTGAGCAAGGAAATCAGTAGCAGTTATGTGTCTAGTAGGGTGATCAGGCAGTCTTCAACATCATCTCAGTCCTGTTCAGCTACTTGCTACTTTTATCTGCCGACCCAGCCCAGAGCTAGCACCTTCATTTCTTTTCTCCAATATTGCTTGGAAGGACTTGGGAACACGTTAAATGGCCAGAACCTAGAGTAAGGATGAGTCTCCCACTGCAGACAGTACAGAGCTTGCTCAATAAAAACAATGGAGACGACTTCTATGGAAAAACACAGGAAGCAGCAGTTTCAGAAGAGCCCAAGAACCATGCAGAAGGCCCAGAAAGGAACAGGCCACACCTCCCTGTTCAGACCAAAGGCATAACCAGAATGATGGAGGAAACTACAGGAATGATTACAACAACAATAGTTAGTACAAAACTATAGTACAGGATATAAATATTCATGCTTTGAATGTAAGTTAATTACTAACTGCCTGATAAATAAATGAAATAAACATATTGTAGGCAGTTTACTTGATGGTTTCTACCACCTTTGGGAGTGTCTAGGGGTGTCCGCTCTCCAGATCAAGAACAGCAGTCAAGCTGGGGAGATTTCATATGAGAATGCTTTGTGCATAGGGTTAAATGAGAAAACCAGAGACAGCTTTTTAGTACTTAATCAACTCCCTAAATAACCCATTAGGACCACTGCTGTGCTTGTTGACTCTGGATCCTTCATTAAGCAACATCCAATGACCAGCTGCAAGAAGTTTAGAAGTGTTTTCAAGGCCCATATTTAATGTTTAACTGGAGCAATTGCCATCTATGAAGAATGATTCCCAATTCTGCTCACAAAAAATGTGAATGAGATGGAAGCATCAATAAATGAATATGTGAATATTTTAATGGCTTCTCCATAGCCCACAAAGATTGAGTGAGGTAACTGATTTGCTCATTGGAGTGCTTTTATTGGGTGCTTCTGCTCAATCAGCACAATGTGAAATCCTACCAAGCCTCGATGGAGAGCACTGAGCACTGGACACAGAGGTTGGCACCAGCAGGAAATGAGTGATTTCCTCAGACAGTTCATTTTGTTAGTGTTGCTCCATGGCAAAAATTAATTAAATAAAACCCTAATTACTTTGACAAACTTAGCAGAATCTCCTGACATTAGAGACAGCTTTCATTTTACTGGCCCCTTATCAAATCACACAGGAAAAGCCTTTCTGGCATAAGCACCTTAGTTATTAGAGGAGGATTGATATTCTGACAATTCCTGGAAAAGACTTAAAAAATTTCCTATATAACCTATTTCTTCTACTGTCTTGGAAACTCAGTTAAACACCAGGATTTAATGGGTAGCATTCAATTTTCATTAGAAGTAAAATCAGCAGCCAGAGTATCGCACAAGCAGCAGGGGTTACCTCTCCTCTCCTGTGCCAGCAGTGTGCTCAGGGAATGTAGGATTCGGGGCAGCTTTGCTTTCCAGATCCATCCAGATGTGCTCATTGGCCTCGGCTGTAATATAACAAGAGATGTTGAGAAATTACATTTATTACATTTATATTTTACAATTACATTTATTACATTTATATTTTATTACATTTTACCAGGGCAAAACCAGGACCACTGAAAAGGAGCAA